TGCACCGAGCCTTTCGATCTCAGGTAAGGTGTTTCCACTCTGAGTTGGAGTTTCCTTTCTGTTCTCCTTTTTTTCCTAGGACTATGGCAAGAGTTAAATAAGGCCAAACCAGACCCTGTATGCAAATGACAGAGCTCTGGCATTATAGTACCCTGATTCTGGTTCTGGCTCTGCTGTTGACGTTGGTCAAGTTATAACCCTGGAGCCTCGGTTTCCCTATTAGCAAAACTCAGTAGCTCACTGGTGGTGGTGGTGAGGATTCAGTGTGGTGACAATGGGAAAGCGCTGAATAAATGTTAAAGCTCTGACTCAGCTGCCATTTTGTGGATGGTGCCCCAAGCTGTTCCCCACCTGCAGTCTCCCCCCTTGGGAGAGAACTGGCCACTTTCCCAAGACTGCCTGAAGGTGCCCTTTTTCCCTTGCCCTCCCCAGGGGACTCAGCTCTGCCTTCTCTTGCCAGCCATCTTCTTCACAGCCTGGCTGTTTCACCCTGGGGGTGCTGAGCAGGCCCTTGTCTGAGAGTCCAGAGTCTGGCCACGTTGAGGTTGTCCGCAAACTCCTGGCAGCCGGGCCGCTGATTTATCTCCTGATGCACTCTTTGCCATCTGTTTTTATATTGCTTTCAGCACAAGATAAGTGGCTCCCATACAGCGCTGAGCTTCAGAGATTGCAAAGTTCATGAGTTTGCAGAATTTATGATAAGGCAGAGAATTGTCTTAGTGCATCATTCATGTGCGCAAGGTCCAGAACGAAACGCCGCTGCTTCCAGATGTTTTCTTCCTTTTCCCCATGCCCTCCTTGAGAGGAGGGGATGGCCAGCCAGCATCCCCTGCTCTTGAGTCTGGACCTCATGAAGGCTTCAGTTCCTTACTAGCTTTTTCAGTGACACGATCAGGAGCACTGTTCCACGGGAGGAGAGGGGAGGAAGAGAGAGTCTGGGGGTGGCTGATCCTCATGCTCCTTGACTCCAAGGTAATTAGCTGATAACCAAAGTGTTGGGCAGGTGTTCTCTGGGCTGAATTATAGTGAGCACAAGTGTCCAGTGTTTTATTTCTCTTAAAGTTTTTGTTTTTAAATTTTCATCTGTTGTGATATGTATCACAAATTTATAAATAAAAAGATAAAAAATGATTGTATTTCTGGGGCTGAAAAGTCACACAGTAGTAATACAATGCTCTGTGAGACTGATTCATATGGGAGGGTTCTGGGTTCATGTTCAGAGACCTCTCTGAATACTCCAGGTGCATGTATGCCTGTGACCCAGGGCTGGCCGAAATTGAGTGTATCTAATGGTGTGAAGACCCTGTTGAGGGTATCTGTCTCTCTGTCTTTCTTGTGTGTGTTTCTCTGTGTGTGTGTCTGTGTGTGGGCGTGCACGTGAGAGAGCATCTGGCTCTCTCACTCATGGAAGAGGGAAATAAATAAAGAAAATAAAGTCTAGGAGGCCGGCAGATGGCAAAGCAGTTACATCGCTAGACTCTAACATGGCCAACTGAGGTTCAAGTCCAGGACCCAGTAGCTTGAAACTCATGGATTCATGCCCAATATCCCAGAAGGAGAATGGAAGGGATTGGAACATGGCCATTCCCCTGCGGGGTGATTTCTCACTGTCTCTGTCTCTCTCTCTGGTGAGTGCACATACCCTAAGGCAAAGCCTCTAAAAAAAAACAAAGAAAAGAAAATCTACACTTAGCTATTCCACTACTCTCTATGTTTTGAAACTCTATTACATAATATCTATTTCATTCATTCATTGCTCCTTCAACAGTATTTATTCTCTGGAGTCAAGCAACTCTGAGTTGGAATCTCAACCCCTTCACCTACTAGTTGGTTTTACCAGGACAAATTATTGGGTCACCGGAAAAGTCACAACACATTTTTGCATAGAAAAACATAGAAAAATATATCATGACTTTTCTGATGACCCAATATTTAACACATACAAGCCTTAAGTTCCCCATTTGAAAAACAGAGTTAATAATAGCATCTACTTCATAGGTTATTGAGAATTAAATGAGATAATTCATGCAAAGGGCATAGCTAGTCCCTGGAAACCAAGAAAGCACTCATTACATATTTGCTCTTAGTATTAACTATTATTCTTTCTGTACCAGGCCCAGGGGTACATAAACTCTCAAGGAGTTTTGGTCAGTGGTTACGGCACCAAGAACAGAGATATGGCTGAAAGGTCTGTCAAGTATAATAGGCTCGCAGAGGGGCAGCTCACGTTTCGGGTGGGAGGTTAGAGATATCTTTGGAGGGTGTGGTGTTGGGGCTGATTCCTGGGAGAAGGAACCAGTCAGGTGAAGATGGTGGGAGACAGCAACCCTAAGAAGGAGAGGTGGCATGTGCCGTGTCTCAGAGGAGCTGAGCATGTGGCTGGCTCTGGAATTAGGTATGTTTGAATATGGTGGGAGGGAAGAGACCAGGCAGAGGTTGTGTGAAATGAGATGGAGAAGATGCAGGGTCATCTTGCGCAAGGTTCTGCCCCACATTAGGGATTTTGCACTTGATCCATGGTAAGCCCCTGGAGACTTCCAGTTACTCATTGAAGGTTAGCTACCACGGATTGAGTGTTTCTTATGTGCTAGCTATTGAAATGTCCTTTATGTGCAAGAGGCTATTATTTTTGTTGTTGTTTTAATTCACTGGAGGGTAAGAGGGCTTGCCAGAGGGAGAGAAACAGAGAGACAGAGAGAGGGAGAGGGAAGAAGCACTCCTCAACAGGGCAAGGTAATGCCACAATCACTTCCCCAGTTCACCGACCTGTTAGGATTTTGGGCATGCATGCACATGCACCTGGCATGTTTTTCAAGCCGCTAGGTTTGGGATTTGAATGGTATGGTCAGCTATGTGAGATCCAGGTGTCTCAATCACCAGGTTATGGAATTGGCCCCAGAGAGTCCATCATTAATATTGGGTTGTTGGAAAAGTCATGATGTATTTTTTTCTATGTTTTCGTGTGAAAAAATGCATCATGACTTTTCTGTATGCCACAATACATCACAACAACTCTGTAAAAAAGATCTTACTGTGCTCATTTTACAGATGGGACTATTGAGATTAAATCACTCAGTTAAGGTCACACAAGTGGTGGAGCTGGTATTTCTAGAGAGGTCTTTCTGAAACGAAAGCCCTTGACCATAATTTTATGCTGCTCCCTAACTGTGCCATTCTGCTCCTTCAAGACACTAAGTGCGTATGTCATTTAGGACTAGTTGCCATGGCTGACAAAGTAGAGGAAGACTGGCGAAGTCTTGACTTGGAGTGACCAGGACGGAAATGTGCTGAGTTCAGGTTGGCATGCTGTGCACGTGAATTTAGCAGGCCTTCTCTCGCTAAGCAGTGGGCAGCGGTCAGTGGTGGAGTCAGGTCCAAGTTAATGGGCAGGAGTTTCAGCATGTGGGCAGAGGTATTTGCAAGGCATCTGAGGTGGTTGCAAGACCTGAAAAACAAACAGGACTTCAGGAATTCCTGTGTCCAGGGTCCTCTGCAGGTGCTGAGTAGAGTGATTGCTCTGAAACACACACCTGGTGTGCAGGCTCAGCTCCATGACCACCCTGATGTGTCCTTCCCTGTTTTCTGTTGACATCCATGGACTTCCGCTCATGCCATTCCTTAGGCCAGTCGATCCTTAGCTGGTCTTCTTGACTCAAAGCAAACTGTCCTTCTTTCTGGGCTTTTCCTCTTGACTATTGGTTTTCCCCTGCCCCAGAAATTCGCCTTTGGATATCACCCTGACACATGTAACTTGGCCCCCAAAACTCTTCACTTGCGTGTGCATCCTTGGGGACCCCTTGCTTGGTTTACCTTTACCTCAGAGGTAAATATGGCAAAGTCACTGCAGGCTATGACAAAGTAACCGGAACAAGCCCTGAGCCCAGGATTCTTTCAGTATTCATTGTAAGAGGCAAATAAATAGAGGGACCAGCAGTTAGCGTAATGACTATGTTGCTGAACTCCCATGTAGTCGACTGCAGTTCGAGTCCTGGACCTGGTGGCTTAAACTCACACTGGGTGTGTGTGCATGCGTGCCTAAGATCCCAAGAGGAGAATGGAGGATAAGGGATTGCAGCATGGCCATCTCCTCTGGGGGGTGATTTCTCGCGTTCTGTCTCTCTGGTGAGTGCACGCACCCTATAGCAAAAACCTCTCAAAAAAAAAAAAAAAAGAGGCAAATAAACAGAAGAGGCATTTGTGGACAGGGGCAGAGGCCGAGTCTCCTTCTCAGAACTGGGGCCTTGCGTTCGTGTCTGAGGGCTGCAAGCAAGAGTTGCTGCTCCATCCCACCCCTCAGGAATGAAGGGTAAAGGAGGAGACAGAGGCTGGGACTAGACTCCAAGAAAGTTCAAGCCATAAGCGATGTGAAAGTCCTTGGATCGGTTTCAGACACTGAAACCACTACAGTCATGATGAACTTTTTGGGGATTCCCATTGGTGCCTCAAAGTTCTAGGAATATAGACACTCAATGAATCCTTCTGAGAGTTAGCAAAGCAGGATTCCAATCATGGTGACTCATCTGAGCAAAGCCCTTACAAGTGTCTGTGTGATAGAGCTAGATGGAGAGAGACAGCTCTGGGGACACAGAGGGTGAGGGGGGAAGGAAGTGAACTGATGGTTACTAGACAACTGTGCTGGCCCCAGCATGCCTCCTCTCTCTCAGTGCTAGGACAGAGCCCCTTTCACAGATGCAGAAGTGGAACTGGCAATGTTAAAGGATTCAGTAATGTTAAAGGTCATGTGACTCATAAGAGGCAGAGTCACGATTTGAACTTAGGTGTCTCCAACTCTGGAATTTTAACCACTGAACATGGTTTCTGAATGTCTCAGCTGGTTTGAGTTGCAGCATCAGTCAGCTTCAGCATTCATTGATATTTCCCAGAGGTATTTACATGTTAATGACAAGCTCTTGAAAAGAGAAAAATCTGTCATAACTCAAACGGCAGAAGTTTGGCTTCCTAATAGGATTTTTGAATAGGGTTTTTTTTTTTTCCCTCAGATCTGCTGTGGCTTTTGAATATTTGAAATGTGGTTAACCTGAATGAAGATGTGCCACCGGTGTAAAATATACAAGATTTTGAAGACTTGTATAAAGGAATGATGTAAAACAACTCATTCATAATTTTTATAATGACTGTATGTGGAAAGGATACAATTTTGGATATATTAGAATGCCTCATTAAAATCGATTTTATCTGTTTGTTTTTTCCTGTATTCCTGTGACTATGAGAGAAATTTAATTTACATATGTGGCCCACATTTGTGGCTTGAGTTTTATTTCTGCTAAACATACTCCTATCAAGGACAACATTGCTATATTCCCTAGTTCTTTCATTCAAAACATATGCGTTAGGGGTGACTGCTTTTCATCTAAGGTTTATCATATTCCAGAATCTACATAGTTAATCTATGTATTTTTTTTTTAATTTGTCAGAGGGCATGGGTGCTCACTGGAGACAGAGAGAGAAGCAGCCCCGGAGGGGAATGGTCATGCCCAAATCTCTTCTCCTCCATTTCTCCCTCCCTTCAAGATTTTGGGCACGTACCCACATACTTACAGTGTGTTTCTCATGCCATTGGGTCCTGGACTTAAGCTGTGCAGTTAGCTATATGATCCAGCTGTCTTAACCACTAAGCCACTGACTGGCCCTGTATTTATTGTTTTATACATACACATTAACATATAAGAATTTTTATTTGCATTTTACAGACAAAGAAGGTGGACTATTAGCCTTGGGAAAGCACAGCACAGGGATACAAGTGTGAACTCTCAACTAATTGGCTTGGGTTCAAACCTCATATCTGCTACTTACTAGCAGATATGAGGTGACCTTGGTTACTACTTGGTGACCTTTGGCATGAGACTTCACCTCTCCGTGGTTCAGTTTCTTATTTGACACTTGGAGATTATAATGGAACTACCTAGTCTAGTTGGAAGAATTCAGAAACTTCCCACATGTTACACACTTTGAACAGTGCTTACTAGCTATGGGTGTACGTGACTGTTAGCCACCGTGATCTTCAGGTGACAGGAGCTGGGATCTACACTTCATTGCCTAACCCTCTGTCCATAAGACTGCCTACAGAACATCTTTCCTGTGCTGGGCTTTGTTTTGCTGCTGCTGTGGGATATGTTACACGCATAAGGAACAATCTTGCACTCAGGGGGTTCACCCTCTATGCAGAAGAAATGACTGTGAAAACTACAATGCAGAGTAGGAAGACTTACATGGTGATTCAAAAAGAACTCCTAAAGTCCTGCTTGTTTTTCAGGTCTTGCAACCACCTCAGATGCCTTGCAAATACCTCTGCCCACATGCTGAAACTCCTGCCCATTAACTTGGACCTGACTCCACCACTGACCGCTGCCCACTGCTTAGCGAGAGAAGGCCTGCTAAATTCACGTGCACAGCATGCCAACCTGAACTCAGCACATTTCCGTCCTGGTCACTCCAAGTCAAGACTTCGCCAGTCTTCCTCTACTTTGTCAGCCATGGCAACTAGTCCTAAATGACATACGCACTTAGTGTCTTGAAGGAGCAGAATGGCACAGTTAGGGAGCAGCATAAAATTATGGTCAAGGGCTTTCGTTTCAGAAAGACCTCTCTAGAAATACCAGCTCCACCACTTGTGTGACCTTAACTGAGTGATTTAATCTCAATAGTCCCATCTGTAAAATGAGCACAGTAAGATCTTTTTTACAGAGTTGTTGTGACGTATTTGGTTGCCAGAGAAGTCATGATGCATTCTTGCACAGAAAAACATAGAAAAAAAAACCATCATGAGTTTTCCAACAACCCAGTATTAATGATGGATTCTCTGGGGCCAGCTGTGTGACCTGGTGATGTAAGAGTTCTCATGAGAGCAAGGTCACTGTGCCTTGGAGGCAACCAGAGGAGGATTCTCAGAGGAGGCCGTTTTGGGCAGGACCTTAAAATTGCTTGGGACAATGGCAGGCACAGATACTGGTTAGGACATTGTGGCCAAAAGGAACATCAGGTCAAAAGTAGAAATTTGAGGAAGTCAAAGCAAGAGTAGAAGGAATGGATAGGAATTCTCTTCTGCTGGACTGTGGGTTTGTAGCAAGCAGTGTGAGAAACTGGACTGGACCGTCAGGCTTGGGAAGGCTCATGATGGGATGGGAACACCAGACGAAGGTCCTTCATTTATTAAAGGCTAGTCTTCAGGGCTGCCACATGTGCCTGGGTCGCCTGTGCCCTGCACAAGAAGGCCCAGCCAGGGGAATGAGTAGAGGCTAGATCCATCCCCACCTCCACCGGGCCATGTGTCCTCCTCCTAGCAGGGACACCTTTTCTAATCTACTTGAAGCACCCTGAGCCCTGTCAGCTTGTCACCAGTTTGTCCCTTTACTCAGTTTGCTGACCACTGGTACCTCATGGTATCACCTTGGGGTGGTGGCTTATTTTCCGAACCTTTGACACAATGAGAAGGCTTCTCTCTGAAAAAAGAACATGCCCTGTCTGTGTCCAGAGCCCCCCACCCCCATATCCAGAAATGACAGCTCTGTCCCCAGATGCTCAGGATCATTTTCATCCAGGTTGGCATTGCTGATAAGTCCCAGGGTGTCTTAGTGTCACGGCAGGAGGAGCAGCAAGGTCACCTCTCAGAGGCCCAGGCTTGTGTTCGTTCCCAATGCCAGTGTCTATCATGACCCCAACACTGGCCCAGGCCCCTATGGGGCCAAATAGAAAAACGTCGCCTAGGCTGTCATCTCCCAGGGAGCTTGGCTAGCTCAAATTGAGTTACTCATTGCTCCTAACTTTGCCGTCATCATTTCCTTCTGCAGCCTATTAAAACTCTATCCCTGACTAATGTAGCTGAACACACTGCTCCCTCCCTGTTCTTCTGCCAGCAGCATCTGTACAAAAAAACCAGCTTTGTCAGGCAGGCGTCTCTCTCCCTCTCGCTCCCTCTCCTCTCCGAAAGTCTACCCAGAAACCATCCTCCCCAAATACTCCAGGAAGCTCCTGTGCCCTTGAGCTGTCCTCAGCATGGATTCTGGGACTCCGGGACAGGCACTTGTCTCCTGGCCTGGCAGGTGGTAAGGTCCTCCCCTCACCCAGCTGCCATCTCCACCGGCCCATATGGGCAAACAATATGCTTTCTATAGAAGTCCGTGTAGGTTCCATCCAACACAGCATACCCAATTTCCGGCCCTGCTCCAGTGTTTACATGTGAGACAGGAACAAATCAGATGGTTTGTTGACACATTCGGCACATGTGGCTTGGCACTGGTTCAGGCTGAATGTATTTAGACGTGCATTAAATATGTCTTCGATATGCAGCCTTGACTTCATGCCTCTCCATGTGTAACACACACACACAGACGCACCAATACACAGATATTATAAGGCTACATGGAAACAGGCTACACATTTCAAAGCAAGCAGGCAGCAAGCTCCTTTGTGTTTGCTGCCTCTTCAATCTATTGATTGTTCTCTTTGATTTTCATGGAAGTCTGTGCTGGTGAATTTTGGGGTGTTGGTCACAGACCCTGGGGGAAAAGATAAGAAGCATGTCAGGCATGCTCCACGTTGGATGGGATGAAGGCATTTTGCAAATGTTGGAGCGTAGAGAGCATGAAAATATTGCTTCCTTCTGAGGAGATTTTTCTGCTGTCGTTTTGTTATGAAAAAAATATGTCTCATCTAAAGATAGAGGCTGACTAATGTCCACAGCAGGAAATAAGAGCAAGCAAATTTGTCAATTAGAATCCTGTTTTTGCTTCTGTTGCCCAGGTCAATCATTCCACTAATTAGTTAATTCATTCATTCATTAATTTATTCACTTATTCATTCATTTGACATTAATTTATTTTTTAAAAAAATAACATTTTTTTCTGATTATAATGGTAATGCATATTCATTGCAGAAATTTGGAAAATCTATTAAAGTACAAAGAAGAAAATGAAAATCACCTCCCTTTCTGTCCATCCAAAGCTAATGGCTGTCTAATATTGCAGTGCAGTTGCTTTCATCGTGATGGTCCAGATGTTCACAGCCCCTCAGTCTTGTTTCCTGCCCCTGAGAAAGAGTCAGCATCTCCCCTTGAAGCAAATCTACCTTTAGAAAGTAAAAGACAAAAATGAAGATTTTGCTGAACGTTTCACGGGGTGGGGGTGGGGGGCAAAGAAAGAGGATACCCTACATGCTGCACAGCAAAACGTAATTGAAAAGTCTTCCTTAGATATCCGGGTTCTCAGCCATGCCTCTAATTCCCATCAATTGCCAACTGCCTCGGCTTCATGCCTGTCACACACAGCCTAGCTTGTCCTCTGCTCCAGCCTCTCTTCTCCTTGCATCCTCATACATATCTCTCCAGTCAACAAAGGACCCACCTTAGCATTCTCTATCTTTACAAGCCAGAAGGGGCTTGCAAGAAATGTGCATTTTTCCCCCGTACCAGATAACTTTTTATCTCTCTTATTCAAATATGTATGTATGCACGTACATATGTATATATGTGTGCACATATATTATATATGCATTTTATTAAAATGAGATTTTATTATACTACTAGTTTTATGCTTACTTTTTTTTCTCCCACATAACATATGTGGGGAGTCTTCAAAAAAACTTTATATTATGAAAATTTGTGAAAACTTTATATTATGAAAAAAACTATGGATGGATTTCATGGATATTTTTGCACCCAAATAAACTTGTACTTTAATTCTAGTTTTCAAGAACTTTTTGAAGTCCCTTTGTATTGTATTTCCCTTACAAGTAAATGTTCTTTGGAAACATGATTTTTGTACTTGTACAGTGTTTCATCATATGAGGTACTGTAATGTATTTGATTAGTACTCTATTGTTGAATATTTTAACAATTTCTGCTATTATGTTTTGGACTACCATAAATATCCTATACAACTTTATTTTTTTCATGAACATCTCCAGTTATTTTCTTAGGATAAATTTCGGAGTTTGAAGTTGCAGGGTCAAATTGTAAGAGCATTTTGAAATTTCATATTAATTGTCTTCCAGAAAATAATGTTAGTGTGAAACACTCACTGAGCACTTACTGGGTCCCAGGCACATGCTAACTATTGGGGATTTGAAAATATGTATGACACGTTCCCTGTTATTGGGCATCTTGCAAGTTGATTATTTGCTTCAACTAACTGGTAGGCGCCTACTCCTCCC